TCCTTTGGTAATGTCCCTCAATCACTGGGTGCCGGCGAGTAATCACCTGCCGGGACCCAGTGATTGCCAGCCGAAGACGCGAATAGCAGCACGGGTAGGACCCGACCCGGAAATGCAAAATCACGTATATATATATATGTGATTTTGCACTCCCCTGCCGCCCTGTAGCAGTATATCTGCTATAGGGCAACGGGAAAGCTGTTAAAGGTGCAGCAGGAAAAACATTCAAGCCAAAAAGAAAACTGAAAGTAAACTGTGCCACATATGCTGCTAACTAAAAAGACAGAGCAATCCTTGCTGTTGAACTGACCAGGCCTAGCACTTGTCAGGTTCCTTCCACAAGCAAACACAGTTGCAAACTTTTGCAAGCATTTTCTCCTCTTTCAGCTCCACAGACTGGGTAAAGTCTGCTCCCAGACCTCAGTAAACCAGAGTCTGAGTTTATAGCTAATATAGCTCACCTGAGGCAGCTAAGCAAGCCAAGAAAACCCAGTTTGAGATATGTGATCTGGAAGCCATACAGCAACACCCCCTGGGGGTATAATTAACTCTGTCCAGGACCTTCTGGATAGAAAATCTCTCACGTTGTCACTTATCTGTGGGCAGCTGGACTATAGTTAGCCTGAGTTCTGATTGTTATTGTTTCTGTGTTTGTTGGGTTCCAGAACAATTCTGTAAAAAATACAGTAAAACGGTAAAAAACTTTACAGTTCAAAACTGTTCTCATTTATAAAAAAAAATACATTTTAAACCTGTAAATCCAACATCTTTTTTCAGTGTTTTTCAAATAAAAATGGCACTTGTGGTTGCCAGAAAAATTCTGTAAAAGATACAGCTTTATAGTTCACAACAGTTTTAAAACTGTACACATTTATAATTTAAAACTGTTGTAATTTATAAAAAATACATTTTAAAATGGTAAATCCAATAACCCTTTTCTGCTGAATTAGGAATACCACACAGCTACAGTATTACCCTATTTACTGCAGGATGTGTCGTCAAATTTCCTTGTTTTTTTGACAGACTGGGTGTCCCAATAAGTGCAGCTGGAGTAGATTTGCATGCACAGTGTGTGCATTTTCCTTAAAGTGTGTCAATGAAATAACTGACGTGCACCCTGGAGGTGCAGAGTGAAGCAGTAGTGTCGCTTTGCAACACTTTAAATGCAGTTTGTCTCAGCCTTTAGGCAGTGTCATTTTTCACTTTTAAATTATAAAGTAAACAATGTTGCTGCCATTAATCACCTTTTCATTCCCCATGCTCCAACCAAGTATAGATTTTTATACATAGCCAAATTATTTATGAGACAATATGCTAAAACACAAGAGAAATATTTAGTTAATGAATGGCGTGTCTTTTGCAATAGCAATGACAAGACCTTTACAGTTAAAGCAACAGCTACATAAACAACTGAATTTTCAGTGGTTGCAGTGTTGTATGGGAGCTGGCATGATTGTGAGTCCACAGTCCAGGGAAATCCAACCTAAGAGCACAAAAAAAAAAAAAAAAGGAAGGTGGAGGATGAAGGAAGAAAGCAAATATGACAGTGACCACTGGGCCAGGCCTAGTAGCCACTATTATCTTTGCTTTTCTCTTTCACCTTCTTCCTGGCTGGCGAAGCAAAGTGAACTTAGTGCACAAAAAATGCCCAACATAATCTCAGTGTTGCCAATAGTGTACACAATCACATACATGTGGCCTTGCCTGTGTCAGTAGACTTAGTCAGGCAAGCGGTGTGGCCTTTGGCACTCTCAAACTGAACTTAGTGCACACATAAAATGCCCACAATAATCCCAGTAGTAATGGCAGTAGTGTAGTAGGACACACATTCATAATCACATAAGTGTAGCCTTTGTGAACAGAGTTAGGCTTAGGCAAGCAAGTGATGTGGCCTTTTTGCATTCTCAAACTAAACTTTCGTGCACACAAAAAAATGCCCAAAATACCTGTGGCAGAGTAGTACTAGCAAACAAAACAATTCTGTGGCCTGTGCAAGCAGAGTTCCACAGCCAAGCATGCTGAGTGGAACAGTAGTGGGGATCCTTTTTGTTCAAAGTAAGGCTTGGGCGGGAAACCTGATTGGCATGCGTGATGACATCATAAAAATGGCCAGTGCGAAGAGACCCGATTCACTGCTACAATGCACATGCACGCCAGAGATAGGCGAATATCATCGACCATCTCTGGCACTGCATATGCACAGTGTGAATATTGATTTTTCTGGGGATTTTCACAGATACCTGCTGTCCGTAAATGGACATTTATGTACAGTCTGTAATCGGTTAAAATTATTTATGGACTGTCCATAGATTTACGAATGACTGGCAATCCTACTACAGTGCAGCACATAACCCCTCAACGTCTCTAGTATTTTGCTGCAAAAAAGACAGATAATCATTTTTGCAAACTCTTACTGAGTTTTACCCTTTTTGGATGATTGCAAAAACTGCCGCTTTACAACAGATAAACTGAAAGAGCTCACCATTATGCATAAAACCCACCAGGCTAATTATCCTGGTCAGTTATCGACCTGTTAGTTTAACTTCTGTAGTTGGGAAGATCATGGAGAGTTTAATAAAAGACCACATAGATGTGTTATTGCTGGAAAATATTTTAAGCAACAGACAGCATGGATGAAAGACAGAAGTTGTCAAACAAATCTGATTTCTTTTTAAGGAGGTGAGCAACACCTTGGAAAGAGGGATGGCGGTGGACGTGGTATACTTGGATTTTGCAAAAGCGTTTGACACAGTTCTCCATACACGGCTAATGTGTAAGGTAAAGTCTACGGGCTTGGAAAAATCCATATGTAAATGGACAGAAAACTGGCTAAAAGGTTGTATTCAGAGAGTAGTGGTTAATTATTCATACTCTGAATGGTCCAGGGTTGTTACTGGTGTACCCCAAGGTTGAATGTTGGAACCCTTGCTTTTTAATATATTTATAAACGATATAGGGTCTGGGATTAAAAACAGGATGTCTCCAACATACAAACTGACCTCAATGCACTGTTTAATTGGGCAACTATGTGGCAAATTAAGTTTAATGTTGATAAATGTAAGGTTATGCACTTGAGGGGCTAAGAATATGTATGCATCATACATACTAGGGGGGAGTACAACTGGGGGGAATCAATGGTAGAGAAGGATCTGGGGGTTCTGGTAGATCACAAGCTTAATAATGGCATGCAATGCCAAGCTGTGTTTTCTAAAGCGAGCAAAATCCTCTCTTGTATTAAAAGAGGTATAGACTCCAGAGAGAGAGATATCATTTTCCCCCTGTACAAATCATTAGTAAGACCTCATCTGGAATATGTAATTCAATTTTGGGCACCAATTCACAAAAAGAACATTGGGGAACTGGAGAGAGTACAGAGAAGGGCAACCAAACTGATAAGAGGCATGGAGGAGCTCAGCTATGAGGAAAGATTAGAGGAACTGAATTTATTCTCTCTTGAGAAGAGGAGATTAAGGGGGGACATGATCAACATGTATAAATACATCAGTGGTTCATATAGTGAACTTGGTGTAGAGTTATTCACCCTGAGGTCATCACAGAGGACAAGGAGGCACTCTTTACGTCTGGAGGAAAAAAAATTAATCTCCAAACACAGAAAGGTTTCTTCACAGTAAGAGTTGTGAAAATGTGGAATAGAATCCCTCAAGAGTTGGTTCTGGCCAGCTCCGTGGATTTCTTTATAAAAGGACTTGATTCTTTCTTGGATACACAGAATATAACTGGTTACCATTTGTAGGTAAAGATGATCCAGGGAATATCTGATTGCCTCTCGGGGGATCAGGAAGGAATTTTTTTCCATGAAGGAGCAAATTGGATCATGCTTTGCTGGGTTTTTTGTCTTCCTTTGGATCAACTGTGGGTGTAGGATTATAACTTTTTTTTTTTATGGTTGAACTGGATGGACTTTTTTTCAGCCAGACTAACTATGTAACTATGTCTTAATCTTTGTATCCTAGTGAAAACTCCTCTACTCATTACTTTGTCTGTAATTAGACTTTAAAGATGTCATAGTTCTCTGGCTACTCCCCTTCTGCTGAGACTCTGAGAACTATACATGAAAACAGAGGAACAAGGGAACACACACACACACACACACACACACACACACACACACATAATTATACACTATATTGCCAAAAGTATTGGGATGTCTGCCTTTACACGCACATGAACTTTAATGGCATCCCAGTCTTAGTCCCTAGGGTTCAATATTGAGTTGGCCCACCCTTTGCAGCTATAACAGCTTCAACTCTTCTGGAAAGACTGTCCACAAGGTTTAGGAGTGTGTCTATGGGAATGTTTTACTATTCTTCCAGAAGCTTATTTATGAGGTCAAGCACTGATGTCAGGCGAGAAGGCCTGGTTCGTAGTCTCCGCTCTAATTCATCCCAAAGGTGTTCTGTTGGGTTAAGGTTAGCACTGTGTGCAGGCCAGTTAAGTTCCTCCACTCCAAACTCGCTCATCCATGTCTTTATGGACCTAGCTTTTTGCTCTGGTGCACAGTCATGTTAGAACAGGAAGGGGCCCATCCCCAAACTGTTCCCACAAAGTTGGGAGCATGAAATTGTCCAAAATGTCTTGGTATGCTGATGCCTTAAGAGTTCCCTTCACTGGAACTAAGGGGTCAAGCCCAACCCCTGAAAAACAGCCCCACACCATAATCCCCACTCCACCAAACTTTACACTTGGCACAATGCAGTGAGGCAAGTACCGTTTTCCTGGCAGCCACCACACCCAGACACCTCCTTCAGATTGCCAGACAGAGAAGCATGATTGGTCACTCCAGAGAACACATCTCCACAGCTCTAGTGACCAGTGGCAGCATGATTTACACCACTGCATCCAACACTTTGCATTGCACTTGGTGAAGTAAGGCTTGGATGCAGCTGCTCGGCCATGGAAACCCATTCCATGAAACTCTCTATGCACTGTTGTTGTGCTAATCTGAAGGCCACACGAAGTTTGGATGTCTTTAGCTATTTACTATTGGCAACTTCTGCACACTGTGCTCTTCAGCATGCACTGACCCTGCTCTGTCATTTTATGTGGCCTACCACTTCATGGCTGAGGTACTGTTGTTCCCAGTTGCTTCCACTTTGTTATAATACCACTAACAGTTGACTTTGGAATATTTAGTAGCAAGGAAATTTCATGGATGGACATATTGCACAGGTGGTAACCTATCACGGTACCACGCTTGAATTCACTAAGCTCCTGAGAGCAACCCATTCTTTCACAAATGTTTGTAGATGCAATCTACATGCCTAGGTGCTTGATTTTATACACCTGTGGCCATAGCGGTGAGTGGAACACCTGAATCCAATGATTTAGAGAGATATCCCAATACTTTTGGAAATATAGTGTATATGTAATAACAACAGCAGGCTAATGTTTCATTAATGTCTTTTTCTAAGCTTGCACACAAATTACATTTCCTTTCCAATATATGTAGTATTTGCATTTTGTGCTGTATCAGTTACAGTAAGTCACATAGATTTATAGTAACTAGAAATCAGAATAAAATTACTTTGATAGCTTTCAATTAAAATCCAGCTGTAGATACATAACTAATTATATATTTACAGAAAATGATAATACAAGTTTTCTTAAGCAGAACCTGGGGCAAACAGTTAAATATTTCATTTAAAGTGTCTATGTATACATCTACTTTTTTCTTGGTAAAGGATTAGTAATTCTATGCAGCCAACTCATCATTGCCAAACTGCACAGCCAGGCAATGGCATGCTTATGCATTGCAGCTTACCTCTCTGTTTCCAGCCTGCTCATTGGACAGTGATTCAGCATCAGCACCTCTGTACAGTGAGCAGAGTGTTGACCCAAAGAGCAGTAAAACTGACCCAAGTAAAACAGATCACCTTGATTGGCAGAGGTATAATTCACTATAAAGACAAATGCTTTGGCTGGTAAATAAGTAAAAATAAATGTATTTCAACAATGTAATTTGCTTCTTGTCTGGTGCGCCACATTAGTTATTCAGAAAAACGTTTGAAAAATCTGAACAGGGGTCATATTTAAAAAAAATTGCTAATCAAAACCAGAGACTTGTCATTGTTGTGTGTTGCATATTTGGGAAGATTTGTTACTTTTGGAAATTCTTGTTTGGCAGTTTTGCATGGGGATTTCCACTGAGACGAAGATTGTCTCCTTCACAACCCCTGCTCCTCTCTTCCAACACAGCTCTCCACTTTTGTCTGACACTTCCTGTTCACTGGGATACATATTCCTCTGGGAAGAGCCAATGTCCGGGAGTTAACTGTCTTGTTTAGAATGTCAGTACCAGAATAATTAGAGAAGCTAAAACCACATATCCATTTATCCTCCTGACCTGAACTATGAATGTGAAACCAATTAAAAGAGGTTATTCCCCATCTCTTTTTCTGCCTGTCATGCAGAACATGGATTTTTTCTGATTTCTCTTGAAGCCAAATAATATAAACGCTACTCTTGTCACATATGAAATGATATATGCTATGACTTAGTTTAAAATTGTATCAGAATAAAAATATTAAGAGCTGCCATTGCTAACCTTTTGTTGAAGATGCAAATTCTAAGGCTGTCACTTTTATCATTCTCTTGCTACCTTGTAATTCACAGCTCTACACTGCCAAGTATTGGGATAACCAATATGCATTTTTTTGTTCCATGCCAGTGAGTCATCAAGTAAGGCAGTAAGGATATGGGATGTAAAGTTGTCCATGACTATTTTCTATTGGTGTTAACTGCTTGCCATTAGTACATTTACTGCAGGTGAGCTGCACAGCCAGGCTGGATCGCAAACATGTACATGATCCAGCTTATTATGGGCTTTGGGTGCACATGTGCGTGCCTCCTTCTGACCCGCACTGTCACTGGCTACAGTATGATTTATGGTAAAGACCAGTCGATTGGCCAATCACACAGCCCTGTGCTTACAAACACACAGGGCTTTGTACACAGATCAGTGATCTGGCTGTTTCTGCTCCCTGCAAGGCCATGCAAACTATGACCATCAATAAGTCTGCCCAACTCATGCACTGATTGCCAAACCAATCTATGTAAAATCTGTCAGAAGGGAGACCCAGATTTCGGTATAAATAAACCAATGTGTGCATCTTCTGTTACAGCACCAATGCAGAAAGAATGAGACAATGTTTTAATTGTTGTAAGCCAAGGACCAATAAGCACTTTTTGTGAACTGCATTAAGTTGGTATATAGAAAAAGACATCCACTAAGGTGACAAAAAGGTGTGGGAAACAGATGGTACTGTAAATATTCCTGAGTAACTGCAACAGGATAGGTATGGCTATTACACAAGGCACTAAGGGAGATCCATCTGCCCCTATCTAAATGATCTGCTTTAGTTTTTTTGTAAGAATATTTTTTTTCACCATTCAAGACCTTGTAATTTCAAAAAAATTGTCAAAGCAAAAAGACCATTCTCTAAATAATTCTCTAAATAATTCCTGGAAAGTGATTCAGAAATTCAAAATTCTTCCAAAAATAAAATAAAGGCTGACTTAATCAGGGGTGATTTAAGAACCAATTCCAAGTCTCTTTAGGATATCTGGAGAATCATAGGCCTAAAGCAATCACATTGATAACCTTTCAGTGCTTATTTAACTAAAATATAGCTAGTATAAAAAGGGCAGTTACAGTATGTAATGAAAAAAAATAATACTGTTTTTCATATCCTGGGGAAAGAATATTTACAGAAAATTTAAAAACTGAAACAAACCTACACTGAAACTGTGAACTGAATGAACAACATAAATACTATACAGATTAATAGTTTCCACAGGCAGCAGGAATCCATAAATGTTTAATGTTAGAGAAAACAAGGTTCAAATCAGATCCAAAAGATGTTGAAGGCAAGGAACTCCTTCTACATTGTGTTTAGAACCTGTTGGTGGAAACATGATTTGTGGGAATGGAAAAAAAATGTTGTTTGTCTCTACCAAGAAGATATTTAACCTTTATGCTTATGAACACTGACCAAGAGAAAGAGCGATGGCCCTTCAATAAGGAGCACAGTCAAACAAGACCACTTCATCAACTAATAATTTAAAATATTTAATAAAGTCCTGCTGAAACAAAGAACTTCCATTGAAATGCTCTAGGTAATTTTCCTCAAACCCCAAGATCTATTTTAATATCAGAAATAAGATATGATTATAGGGTTATTTTAAACTAGCAGTAGCTAAATAAACTTATTAGAAAAATTCCCCCCACTGGGATAATTCTAAAGGCAACAGACCATTGCAAGTGGTCGAATCAAATATATGGGCCATTATGAACTCTTGTTTGCGATCAAAATGAACTATAAGATTCTAACATGGTGGTATATGCTGCCTATGAGAGTTATTATTATTATTAATATTATACAGGATTTATATAGCGCCAACAGTTTGCGCAGCTCTTTACAAAATGAAGGTAGACATTACAGTTACAATACAATTTGGTACAAGAGGAAACAGAGGGCCCTGCACGTTAGAGTTCCTCATTTATATGCCTGGTTACTTGGCCTTGTGTTATGGTGGTTGTGGTTAGATGTGGATGACTTTCCACGTCTGGTGGACATGTCTTGTGGTATAGTAATGTTTGACTAAAGTCTTCCTCATCCTGATGCTGACTATCCTAAAAGGTTCTAGATTTTTTTCCACCGGCAAAGCACATGTTTCTTAATATCAGACTGCTTGAAGTGCAATTTAAGATAATGAACCAAGTTCTCATAGCTGCAAATCACTTATCCTTTCTATAGCTGAAACAAGGTCCAGAGTTATACAGACCGGGATACAAGTTGGACAAACTTTTCAGTGTGGCAACCCTGAACAGTACATTTCCTCTCCCAGGGTTTTGACACAGACCTCCTTTGTCTATAGTCACTCTTTGTTGACAGTCACACTCCTTTCTTATCCCTCCTTCCTGCCCCTTGGACCTCTAGAGTTTCCCTCCTATCCATCCCTCTCCTTCCTCCCTTGTCCTTATCGCCCTTGCATTTATTTTTTTTTTTACTATAGTCTTAATCAATGCAGTGTCTGTTTACCTGTTTATCCACCTATGGCATAGATATGCCTTTGTTTATGACCTACTTTGATAAGCTTTGCACTAGCTACTAAGCTGTAATGCTATCTATCTGTATATCTCCTCATTTGTATATGCTATGTTTGTCTCTGTGAACCGAACAAGCAAAATATTGAATCAAAATTAATCAACTAAAAACAATTCTCATGAAGTAGCAGAGATGAACTTCCCATTTGCTAACAGAAGAAAAAGCAATAAAATTATCCATAGGAATTTGCCGATTGAATGAATAAGAAATCATACAATCGATGCAATGTAATACAAGAACCGGATCTAACTTTAACAACCCATTCCAAAAATATAGAAAAGACCTTAAAATAAAAGCACAACAATGAGTAACCAATGGGAAACACAATCAAAAAAATTGCTGTCCATCAAAAAACTACTCAGTGAGTTCAAAAATTGTGGATGAGTGAGGAAGCAGTTTAAATTGCTTTGCTAATAGTGAATATTGGCCAAGTGGTCTAATAATATCCAAGGCATTGTCAAAATAAGAATATGAAATAGCATTAAGACCAAGGGAAATTTCATTATTTCAAACTGTTCTTTGTTTGGGGACCAGTCCCAAGGGAGCTACTTTAAAAATATCAACACAAAGGGCTAAAGAAAGGACCTGCAAACTTGTCTTCATAAAATTCTGTCACTATTTTCGATTCATGTGTTCAAAACCAAAAACAGATTTAAGTTATTATGTATAACACAACCAGATGCAAGTAGTAAAGTTAGAATTTCGGAAACATTTATTTATTTTTTCTAGATACTGGCCATTCAACAAAATGCAAAATGCCTGTAGCCAGGTATTAAAGGAGTGAGCCACAAGCCTATGACGAGCATCATCAGTTTTTTATCTGAATCTTTCGTCAGGCTTAATAAATGTATTAACTGAGGGCAAAAGTGATAAAATATCAGCATGTTAACCACTACAAATTTTCTCTTTTCAGTCATTTTTTAATGATATCCAAAAAGCAAAATTTTAAGAAACTCTAGTTGTTTTCAATAAATGTAATAAAAAAATCCTTATTGGGAGTAATCAAGGAATGGCCATGCCTGCAACTAACTCTGCAGAAGGAGAAGAGCTGTTAAAAATCCCATATCCTCACAAATACCCCCCTTTCCTCTCTCTGATCACAACCTCATCACCTTCTCCTCATCCTCAAACACCTATCCCTCCAAACGGCAAACAATTACCAGCAGAAACCTCTGA